TGTTCTTCTAATAATCGTTGCCCAATTGTTCTCGTGGGAAACAAGATTGATCTTGTCGATTACTCTACTATTGAGGTATAATGAAAAAATAAAGTTCACAAATATTCTGTTAACTTTCATTACATAATAGATTCTAACTGTATTCTTTATTCTTAGGCTGTATATCCTATAATGAAAGAATTCACTGAAATTGAGAGTTGTATCGAGGTAAAGAGAGTTATGATTGTATACCAAACAGATTATCATTAAAGAAGGATTTTGACTAATACTACGTTCATTTTAGTGCTCTGCCAAAACATTACAAAATGTATCAGAAACATTTTATTATGCACAAAAAGCTGTTTTGCACCCTACTACGCCATTGTACAATTATGATATTCAAGAGGTAAACTTCATTGCAAAATACATGTCCTTGTTGAAATCTAAAAATTCTATATTAATGAAACGCAATGTTTAGCTTACAGATGAATGTAAAATTGCATTACAAAGAATTTTTAAGGTAAGTCCTTATGCTTAGAATTTGAATATTGTATATGTTGACCATGTATAACATAATTTCATTGTACATTGTTTTAGATATGTGACTTGGACAACGACGGTTTGCTAAATGACATGGAACTAAATGCATTTCAACAGTGGTGCTTTAACACTCCATTGCAGCCACAGGTTTTGGAGGATGTAAAAGCTGTTTTGTCAAAAAATATTCAAGACGGCGTTTGCAATGGATGTGTTACAATGAAAGGTATTTTACACCTTATAATTTATAAAAAAAATCAATATAAAAAGACACCTTTGTTATTTGTAGGTTTTATGTATCTCCAGTGTTTGTTCATACAACGAGGAAGGAATGAAACTACTTGGACTGTGTTGAGAAAATTTGGTTATGACAATGAATTACAAATGTCTAAGGAATATATAAATCCTCCGTTAGTATGAAATTACGGAAATATTTAACAGATTTACTCGAATTATATTACACTTATTTTCATTATGCTGGGTAGACTGAAGGTTCCTGCTGGCTGCTCGACTGAATTATCCCATAAGGGCCAAGAATTTTTAACACTGTTATTTATGCAACATGATCGTGATCGGGATGGTGCTCTTTCACCCCCAGAAATGGAATCGCTATTTTCACGGTGCTTGTCTCCACCTTGGAGCGATGAATATAAATATACTGTACCAACTAATGAAAAGGTACATCTTATTGCATTTATTAAATCATTTTTATATTGTTACGTCTATAATTCTAATATTACTGTCTCTGTAGGGGTGGATGACGTTTCAGGGTTACATGTGTCAATGGGCACTGTTAACTCTTACTAATGTACGCAAAGCATTAGAATATATGGCATATCTTGGTTACAACATGTATAATAATGAGTGTCAAACGAACGCAGTTCTGATTACTCGTGAAAAGAAATTGGACTTGGCGAAGAAGCAATCGAGCAGAAATGTTTATAGCTGTCATGTAATTGGTCCAAAATGTAGTGGGAAAACAACACTATGCAGGACGTTTATTGATCCCAAACTCGAGGTACACACGGCGAACATGTACACGCGTATATTATAATTAGAGCCTATCTTTTATGCGTATTAAAATACACTTGTCACGTGTATATGAAAGGCGGTTTTTTTTTTTTTTTTTTTTTTTGTGCGTCTTATTTCATTTGTATTTAAGAATTGATCTCATTTCAACACACACTGTTATTTTTTCCTGTGTTAAGAAATTGTTATTTGTCTGCCACCGTTATATTATAAAGAATTTAAGCCATTTGCATAATTTGAAAGTGTTACGACGCAAATCAAAGATGGGCAAAATTTTATTAATTTTACTCAGCAATGGTTAAAGAACGAGTACACATGAAATTGAGGGCTTTAATTATGATATATATATTGAATAATATTTAAATAACATTCAGTATGACCGTAGAAATTAACTGATGAAGTAGTCCCATCAAATTCACATGTAACTGTAAACACAGTGCATGTATATGGTCAAGAGAAGACAATAATTCTGCGGGACATAAATATACTTAATGTTCAAGATGCTTTAACTCCAGCACAAATTCAGTGTGACGCAGCAGCTCTCGTTTATGATGCTAGTAATCCTAAGTCATTTGAATATATTGCACGAATTTATATTGTAAGTAATTTTTGCATACTCTTCCATAAGTATAATGAGGCAAACTGTAATTAAGTAATCATATATCGAGTATTTGTTTCTACAACTGAATCGGCTCTTTTTTCAGAAATATTTTGCAGATAGTAAGATTCCGGTTCTCATAGTAGCGAATAAAAGCGATCTTTCTGAAGTGAAGCAAGATTACTTGCTACAACCAGCAAGTTTTTGCAATAAGTACAAACTGATGCCTCCGCAACCATACAGCATCTCCCGTACCGTAAGACGTGAAATCTTCGTTAAACTGGCAACAATGGCAGCCTTCCCGTAAGTTCGATTTCTTGAAACATTTATTATTAGTAGGTATAATTTGTAAAGGTATGAAAGTGCTCCAAAAATTGTCATGTCAAGAAACAGTCGTATCCACTTGGGATCGTTACAGACAAAAATATTCTAAATACTTTAATAGACATCGCCAGAGTTGCGTTGCACTTGTTTACTGCTATCAAACGTTTTTATTTGATACTCTTTGTAGTTTTTAAGTAAAATAGTATAATTTTTTCAAACTGGTATGACTACTAGACACTAACAAGAAGATTTCATGTTTAGCCGCTTTCAAGGAGCATGGGTATTATTTTACAGAGACAGGTTGGTCTGAATTTTTGCCACACCGTAAACATTGTAAGCTTGAGCAAATCGTGAATCACATTGGTTGTTGTTGTTTTCTTTTCTTTTTTTTTTATTCGTGCTGCATTGCACGTCTATGGAACGGAATATACATTCGTAAAATGTGTTAGGCGATTTGCTCAGATTAAGAGATGTCGCATGAATAAGACTATCGTAACAAAGTCTTGAATCTTTTCAGTCCTTTGAGGCGTATGGTCCACATGTTGCTTGTCAAACCCTCACCTACTCAATGGTGGAGTTCATTTACAAGGTTTTTGTTTGGATATTATAGATTTCTATTTATTTCACGGCGTGCTCACGACTTACAATATAAACTGATATCAATATTATTTTTTGCATGAGCATGAAATGGCGATGGATCCTTGGATTCTTGTTTTTTTTTTATATATATATATATATGTATATACTATACGTGTTTTGAAACTATATAAATTTTTTTCAATTCTGTGTGTATTCGAGTTTGATCAAATCCGAAGTTGTCTAATCTATAAATCCACGATCATAGAATAACATATGATACTATTATTTAATTAAAGTGTAAAAAAATATGCATATACGCACGGATTTTATCATACTAATAAGTCGATAGAATTTTTCCATTTGCTACGAACAATAATTATTGACATTACAGACATATAAATCAATTTGGACTGATGCAAGGAGATTCTATCGTTTGGTGGAAGGCTGGTCTTGGTATTGCAGTCGCTACTGTCGCAGGCTTCGTGGTGATGCGCGTTTTAAACACAGAAAAAAGATAGTCTACCATATTCCTTTTCTTGCACATTTAACTGCCTCGTTTGACCGAGTATAAAACCGTCTTTGAAAAACGCGTTAAGTTAATAAACTCTGTTCTTAAATCATTAATTTCTTGTGTCCTTGATCACTTCACAACAAGAGAAAAATTAATATACTTGTGTACCCTATACATATTTTAAAGTACTTATAAAATATTTTAAAGTATTGGCTAAATTTCACTTACGCGTATTTCAAAATTTTAGTCACTTGTAGAAGAAAGCTTTACAAATGTCCAAACCTTCATTTGTTGAGATATATTGGGTTATTAATGATAGGTTCAAGATTAGATCGAATTTCTTCTAACATTATTTGATATCAAAAGGTCATAGAATTTTTGATTGTTTTTAAATCATCTATAATTACAGATGAAATCGCAACAGCCATTGCAAAATGTAATTGTACCCGACTTTTTTTTAATATAATAAGTGTTTATGTTTATTAATTTGGATATTCTTATCGATATGTAGCAGTTTCCTATTTCAATTTAGAACTAATATCTGAAAGAATGTCGATATTAATAGAAGCTATTAGTCATTATATTATATTGGTCATATTATTGGTCATATGAACACGGTATACCTATATTTGCAGTTGTTTAGAATCTGCTTAAATCTTTCACAATTACGTATTTCAATTTGAGTGCAATGTGAAGTTGTTCTTGGTATGTACATACAAGGTCCATTATTAGAACCAACTCAGTGACATTCGGTGGAAATCAATGAATCATTAACAAGAGATCCACATGATATGTAGTCCACCAATGTCAATATAGCTTCTTAGATAGATACAGAACCCACAAATATTTCATCATTATCTCATATACTCAATAGTTAATAAAATATTAAGCAATGAGTATCATTAATTCGCTCGCTTGCATCACATGTATTCAAAAGTTCACTTTTCTCAAGCAACATCTCGTTTAAATTTATATAGAAAATCATATTATGCTGTTATTTCTTTAGCATTGTACTACTTAATCTGTCTTTTCAATCATTTGGAAGTAAACTGCTGAAATATTCAAAAATTGTTCTCTATATAGATAAAGAATAAAATGAATTGTTAATACTATGAATGAGATTAGGATAATTAGGATAAGAGGTTAAACGCTCTATCACTAGAAAAAAAAATCATTCAGATTTTTTGCATGGTTACATAATTACAATCTCAGGGTTACAATAATACCATGCTTCAAAAGGACACGTGGAGAGAGGGTTAAATCATAAATAAATTACACAAGGGTACAGTTAAATCAATTTGTAAATAAATTGTCTAAACATAATTTTATTCCTAATGCTGCTTCCAATTAGATACATATATCATCATAGTAATATTTGCATGTAAGAGATATAGTAATAAATGATAAAAGTGGACATTTCTCTTTTAATACAATAGGATCATGTTTTCTTTTCTTTTTGTATGTCGCCTATCAGATTAAAATTTCATATAGTATCAATTTTCTAAAGTTTTTCTAATAACTCCTACTGTCCACTTGTTCAAAAATACTGCTTCAAATCATATCTGAAATACAAAGATAAATGTTATGTATCACTCTGCAGGTACACAAAACATATTATAAGAATACTTTTGAAAGAAGTCTCTTACTGTGAGAAGCTTTGCATTGACGAAGGGCTTCATTGAACCCATCACACAATGTAAGGTCAGACTGATTCTGGGCACAGTCCAAGAATTGTCTGACTTCCCATGCACATGCGCCAGTGGCAGGTGCAGAAGCTGGAGAGCTCTGCGCTGCCACAGGTGCTGCAGCAGGTACAGCAGCAGCTTCATTGGAGCCACCACTGAAAAGGCCAGTGATAGCATGTCCAACTGTATGACCAACAGCTGAACCAATGGCTACACCTCCAGCAGTGGCAGCCATTTGTCCCATAAGGGATGGCTGCTGAGGCTGAGCAACCATGGGTGTTGCTGAAGCAGCATGGGCTGGTGGATGTGCTGCCGCAGCTGGAGCTGGAGGTGGTGCTGCCCGCCTAACACTAAAACAAAGTAAATATTGCACTTTTATCTTAAGCAATTGAAACTAGAGAAAATGTATCGTGTTAATGTCTAAACAAATTCTTATTCTGCAAGAATACAGAGTTTCTTCCGGTGTTCCAAACCTTGACACTAATTTAAAAAAAAAAAAGGAAAATGAAAAATGTTAGACACGCCTTGTTCTCCAATTGTTTGAACGTTCCACTTTCGTTCGAGCATGGCGATTGCATTTTCAAAACATGTCGAAACATGGAACATACGAGAATACAGAAATTTCATATATTAATAATTGCCTTTAATATGTAATTCAATTAACACTGACGTCACAGGGTAATTTGACGAAAATTACATAAAAATTACGTGTATAAATTCGATAGAAACCATGGAGTACTCACGTCCTTGGTGGAGGAGCAGATGCACGTCCCCGTCGTGGCATGTTTGATAGCTTTGTACTTTAGATTTGGTTTGTTAATTCGCACGTCTAAACTCTCGAAAATGTCTTCGAACACTGTGATGTACGCTGCCGAATCTCTTTGATCTCTTCAACACGTTACGCAATTGAAACGCTTTACGCCGACTCAGATCGAATCACGTGAAATTTCTAGAAATAAAGCAGGAAATCAACCATCGCGCAAACGCGACGCACTTCGGATCGTTTCGAAATCAATAGAAATTCGGAAAGATTAGGGCATAAATTACGGGTAACAAAAAACTAGACGCTGGTACGTTTTATAAAATAACGTTTTTATAGCATTTCGTGTGATTTAATTAAAATTATGAATAAAATTGACCACATTATTGTTTGTAAGTCAACTTCACACTGCGCAATACAGGGACGATGATGTTGGTAACGTGCTAAGTTAACCTACAGTCATTGGATAAACTATGTTCATTGATTAACTGTGCGCACATATAAATAATTAATATATCGTTGTCAAAAGGCATCAATTTCTTATTACCATCGAATGAAACGGTTTTTACACCTGAAATCTATTTTATTCAAAATTGAAGGATCTGTGTTGACCCTTTTTACGTGTGTATTGCTCATATTTGAATCACTATTGCATGATTATACGCAAAATATTCTGTTTTTAGATCTTTACTTATAATATGTACTTCTATTATGCTATACTTTCTATGAATATTTAATAATTACCGAAGATATTTAGAAGTAATATGTTCATAACGAATATGTGCAATTTTTTTTTAATTTAAAAGAAGCAGTGGTTGCTTTTTAGGAGTAAATGACGTTTCGTTCTAGAATGTTGGTAGATACATCGATAAAACTAATCCAACTGTCTGTTACTACATAAAAGCAATATAAAGTCGATGAAAACTCACAATTGGAGTATATTCTTTGCTAAAATTACAAATAATTAAATATGAAGATAGAAAATTAATTTCTACACCCAATAATTGGCAAGTACACTTATAATTTGCTACAAGGATAACGATAAGTGAAATTTGTGGGCTACTAAAATTTATACATGGGATACATTGTAATTTGTAATGGCTATCAGGTTGAGACTTAGAAATAGACTCGAAATAGAGATGAGTAAAATTTGTTTCAAATAATAGGTAACGAATAACCTCAATGTGTTATGTCTGTGTTTTGCGAAATCCCGACAGAGGGTGCCACAGTCCATTTCTAGCTATCGAGCTCCATCATCAAAAAATATCGAAAACAAAGCAAAATGATTTATCTCATGTGAAGGGCATTATCGTTGGATTTATATTTGTGTCAAACATTTGGAAGTCATTGATTTCTTCTTATCGATAGAGAAATCATACGATCAGCATTCCTCTCATATCGACGTAATTAAATTGTGATTTATATTCCTAGCGAATTACTCGATGATCTGACGACTACAAATGACGTTTAACGAGCAACTGTTGAACAACGAGATTCGAAGGCTGGTCGGGGCTACATGTCGTGTTTGAAATGCGAATTTAAAGTTTTAACGAACAACCTCTGCCGTTGTTCTTCCTAATTTGTGAGATAACTTAATAATTTGTATTTTCCAACGGTTTCGTGTGAAATCTTATCTTTTTAAATTCATCGTCTGCGTCGATTTAATGAGTTACGACGATCGCGTATCATAGGTCCATAGGTCCATTCCAACTATAGCACATATAACCACGTTTCGTATTTTCGCTTTGTTTTTCCAGAAGTGCGCGTATCTATTTTTCAACCGTTATATTTAGTACAGAAAATATTATCCAAAGTATTCCAACTTCCAACGTTAAGAAAACGATCAAGAAACGTTGCTGTCGAAATGGCCAAACATCACTACCTACGTTATTAGATGCAATCGAAATAAACATATACGTATTATCGTATTTACGACTCTTGAGTTTGTTGTTGTGTTTTTAAGAGAAAGCGTTTAATACGTCTGAAAGTGTCTGAGGTTAAAGTAGGGTTAAACTTATTTCATAACAATAAACGCAATATTTACATTGTTTAGTATACGACCATCGAAATACGTCAAATACAATCAGTTAACCATGTTAGCTAACATTCAAGAGTTATTTAAAATTGAAAACAAATTGATTTTTACAAAACTTATGCATACACCTAATAGAACAAATTTTTGTCAGTATACGTTTTTTTGGAGCATACAAAGTAATTAAACAAAATCTCATCTGGATTGGATACAAATTTTAATAGATATCGGTAACAGCCTTATGGAGAATTTGGTAGCGCCATCTATGGTCAGGAATGGAAACTGTTTCGCTACATACTTGCATGTTTTGCCGTCGAAAACGTTGAGGATAGGTTTAAAATGTAATAATATTTCTAAAATGTAATAATTTTCTACACGTAAATTTGATGTACCTAAATTAGGACTGATCCAATACATATGAGGTACTATTGTATTTTCAATTTGAGAATAGTGTTTCCATAACTTCGTAAGTCTTTTGTGTTATGCCTCGTATAATTGAAGCTTTGGTAACTCTTGGTGTTTCCTATACATATTTACTATTATCATTATTGTTTTTACTAGTCTTTTAAACCAATCATTTGATTACAAACAAATACGATAAAAAGTAACGAGTAATGCCACGGGTATCGGTAAAAATTGTTCGGATTTTCGATAAGGAGTCATCACTACCATTGTTTACGTTTCTTCACCTTGAGCAGCCGTCGACTTGAGCGAATGACAACTGTGAAAACAAAATACGGCTAGCCGAACTTCATACCAATACGTTCCATTCATTTTTCTTTCTTGCGTATATTGATAATTGGTGGTCCCGATTTTCAAACATTATGCGAGCCACTACTACGTAGAGCTTTCTAACCTACAACTCGTTACCTGTAGCATAGTGTTGTTTGAGCACTGCTGCGAGTGAAAAGAATAGAATAAAAAAATAATGTCTACATTTAATAATTGTCAAGTATTAGGTTGTCCAGAAAGTTCGTGCCAATTTCTAAGAAAAATTAACAAAGGCATATAATATATATACACGTATTTATTGAATTAAATAGGCGCCATTTTGTTCCACAACCTTTCCACCTTTTAAGGGATGTATACATGTTATTTGTTTTCAACCATTTCGACGTATTCAGACCTGTACCACCTACCAAAAATCGACATGGACTTTCCGGACAACCAAATACAATTGTAACTTGTTAAAAGAACAATAACAAGTGAAATATGTTGACTATAAAAATTCGTGTATAGGATATATTGTAATGGCCATCACGTTGAGTATTAACTAATGTATATAGATTCATCGTAATGGAAATCATATTGTAACAAAACGACGTGTAGGTGAATATTTTTATTTAAACTACAGTTGTAGACGATCGAATGTAAAGGCACAAAATTAATTTCTACACCTAATATTTCTACGCATCGTTAATATATACAAATAAAATAGCAACGAATTTATTACAGATCCCAGCGAAATTCCCGCCAGTAATATCCAAGACGCTCCGACGTATCCGTCTCGAAGATAGTCGTGAACAATTTTTGACCGTGGGGGTGTTACGATATCTAAATTTGAGAAGAAGGCCTTCGATGCTATACGGAGTCGAAGGTTTCCGCTGCGTCGTTTCTTCTGTCTCTGATGCAGTGTTATCGGCCTCTGTTATCGTCGTGCACACGTGTCGATATAGACGCGCGCGTTGGCCGCGGCAGCGGGTGCATTCACCGACACATGCGCACAACCGGTCGAACGAAACTCTTCATAAACCGGCGGGAATACGTTGCCCGTGACTCAGTGTACACGATGCCACGGCTCGACCGCGATAGACCACGCACCACGTATACACGGCCTTCTTTTTTCACGTTTATCCACGCTCGTGTTAACGCCGCGACCGTTTTTCGTCGTCGCGTTTTCTTGACACGTCGCGTGTGACGTCTCGTCACCTCCGTCACGGTCCCGCGAGCTTCGAGCGGGAACGGTGCATTGTTCCGACAAAGAGGCGCGACATCGATGCATCGGTACAACAGCCCGCGAACATCCTCCCTCTACCGTGCCAGACGTCAATTTTCATCCGATAAACTGCTGGCAAACAATGGAACAGCAACACGTGAACTGTCCTTGAAGGAATGACCGTGCATTTTGCGCTGGAAGAGGATCGACAAAGGATCGACGTGGACCGTCCGTTCGGCGTGCGCGGTGAGTGATTGTTTTTGTTTTGATGGTAACGTTGCACACGTGGGTCGACCAGTGTCCTCTGGCGATACGGCGCGAGCTATCGGTTCCTCGAACGCGGTTTTTCGTGACGCTCTTCGAACGTACCAGACGCGTCTTTTAAAACCATTCCCGTGGAAAACTGACGTAATATCGGATGGCGAAGACGAAACACGTCGAGCGTCGCGCGATGTGACGGACGACGATAACGGAAACGGTTAGCTCTCTCGATCGTTTTGCGTTCATGGAACCGATATCGAGAATTGGAGAGCAGAAGACGGGGTTAAATAAAGAACCGAGATGGAACGAAAATAGTCTCCATGGATACGTTCCGACGTTACATACGTTCTGAATCGGACATGAACGATATTTCATTTCGAGAACGATGACGTTCGTTCGTTTCGACCGTAATGTTTCTGTTTGTTCGTTTCGCGGTATTTCATTGTATAATTCGAATCCGAATTTCTATTTGACGAGTATTCGAGAATGTTTTTACGTTGCTCCTTATGGATTATCTGTTTCGAAACCTGAAAGCGATGCAAAATAACTTCGTTTTATAATAACGCGTGAACAGTTGTTTATCTGTTAAATTCACTGTTCGAAAGTTTTATTTAGATAAGGGTGTAGTGTTTGGTTAGGAACAGTACTTTGGCTAAATCTAAGGGGACAATTACAAAATCTAACCTAATTTACATTAGGTATAGAAATGAATTCTGTGGATTTATATTAAATCACTTGTAACTTTAGTTTAAGTAGAAATTTTATATCGTCATTTTGTTACTATATGTTAAATTGGCAACCTTCTAGGTTCTCAACCTGGTCTCCATCACAATAAATACATGTATAGCCTAAGTCCTAACCTAACGACTAGACTGCGTTTTATGCATTCATGATAAACACTAATATAATAAACAAGTACTAA